TATATCTATATATATACATATATATATATATATATATGCGTGTGTGCGTGTGTATGTATCAGATCGTCGGATGTCTGCATTGTGCCCCCTGGAGGCCGCCTCCCCCCCCCCCGGGGCTGGCACAGAAACCGTTCGGGAAGCGGGCTGGCCCCGGGCACGTGCCCGAGGCCCCGGGAGGCCCGCGTCAAGGCGAAACTGCAGCGCCAGAGCCAGCGGCGCGCCCCGCGCGCCAGGGGAGGGGGGTTTGTCCAATCCGTGTGCCCCAGAGGCCCCGACCCCCTCCCCAGTGGGCCCCAGTGGCAGTTCAGACCAGTTCTTGATGGCCTCCGGGCCCGCTCACGGACCCTAGAGGCCGAAGGTAAGGAAAAACGTCACGATTGAAAATTGCCCGGGGACGTACCCAACCCTGTGCACACGTGAGGCGGTTAAAGGTTGGACCGCTCAATACAAATGCGAACAGTGAAGGACGCGCCGTACCCATGAACGCCTCGCCAAAGAACGCTGGGCCACAGTCAAACGTGTCCCCATCGCTGCATCCCCTTGCGACGAACATATCATTGGCGGGAAGCGACCCCGAGCAGACGAGAGAAGCAGAACGACGCGTGTAGAAACATACGGAGAAGGGAGAACTGGACGAGCGAGTGGTGGTAGGGACAGCGTCGCCCGCTACATTCGCAGTATAGAGCAGGGCCATGTGCGCCGTCACAACGTGCGCGAGTGCATTACCGTCCAGAGGCAACTGAAGAGAGGATGCGGCATGGACACAGGACAGCGCCATGCGCTGCGCGGCGCTCTATCGCGCTGCGATCTGCGACCTGCGACAGTTTCGCGCGTCGCAGTTCTCATGGACGGCTCGGCCTCATTCTGATTTTGCGTAAGACGTCATTCTGCTCGGCCCCCCAGGAACCCACGAAAGTGGCGACAGTTTCGCAGTTCGCAGCCCCCAGGGACGGCGAGGCTGAACTCTGCTTTCCGTAGGACCGACTGGGGTCCGCGCGACGACCGACTCCGCTGGACCTCCCAGGGAACTTACAAACGTGGCGACAGTTGCGCACTTCGCAGCCCCCCAGGAAGCCGCGAGATCTCGCTGGGGTTTGCGTGACTACCGTCTCCGCTGGACTTCCCAGGAGCCCTACAAAAGGGGCGACTGTTTCGCAGTTCGCAGCCCGCCAGGGAGCCGCGAAGTCTCGACGGGGCGTGCGGGACTACCGATTCCGCTGGACCCCACAGGAGCCCACGGAAAGTGGCGACAGTTCCGCACTTCGCAGCCCCCGAGGGAGCCGCGAAGTTTCGACGGGGTGTGCGTGATTACCGACTCCGCTGGACTCCCAGGAGCCCCACGAAAGTGGCGACAGAAAGTGGTGACAGTTGTGCACTTCGCATCATCCCAGGGAGCCGCGAAGTCTTGACGGGGTGCGCGTGACTACGGACTCTGCTGGACTTCCCAGGATCCCCACGAAAGTGGCGATAGTTGCGCAGTTTGCAGCCCTCGACGGGCAGTGTGTGTGTGTGTTTGTGTGTGTGTGTGTGTGTGTGTGTGTGTGTGTGTGTGTGTGTGTGTGTGTGTGTGTGTGTGTGTGTGTGTGTGTGTGTGTGTGTGTGTGTGTGTGTGTGTGCGTGTGTGTGTGTGTGTGCGTGCGTGCGTGCGTGCGTGCGTGCGTGCGTGCGTGCGTGCGTGCGTGTGCGTGCGTGCGTGCGTGCGTGCGTGCGTGCGTGCGTGCGTGCCTGTGCGTGTGCGTGCGTGCGTGCGTGCGTGCGTGCGTGCGTGCGTGCGTGCGTGTGGGTGCGTGGGTGCGTGCGTGCGTGCGTGCGTGTGGGTGCGTGCGTGCGTGCGTGCGTGCGTGCGTGTGTATATGTGTGTGTTTCTCTGTGTGTGTGTGTGTGTCTGTGTCAGAGTCTGTGTCTGTGTCTGTGTGTGTGTGCGCGTGCGTGTGTGTGTGTGTGTGACTACCGATTCCGCTGGATCTCCCAGGAGCTCACGAAAGTGGCGACAGTTGTGCAGTTCGCAGCCCTCCAGGGAGCAGAGAAGTCTCGAAGCGGCGTGCGTGACATCCAACGCCGCTGCACCTTGCAGTCATGCAATTCGCAGCCCCCAAGGAGTCGCGATGTCTCGACGGGGTGTGCGTGACCACCGACTCCGCTGGACCTGCTATGAGCCCACGAAAAGGGCGATTGCTGCGGAGTTCGCAGCCCCCGGGGGAGCCGCGAGGTCTCGACGGGGTGTTCGTGAATTCCGACGCCGCTGTACCTTCCACGAGCCCACGAAAGTGGCGACAATTTTGCGATTCGCAGCCCCCCACGGAGTCGCGAGGTCTCGACGGGGTGGGCGTGATTACAGACTCCGCTGGACCTCCCAGGAGCCCACGAAGGTGGCGACTGTTTCGCAGTTCGCAGTCCACCAGGGAGCCGCGAAGTCTCGACGGGGCGTGCGTGACTACCGAATGCGCTGGACCGCTCAGGAACCCTACAAAAGAGCCGACAGTTGCGCATTTCGCAGCCCCCCAGGGAGCCGCGAGGTCTCGATGGAGTGTGCGTGACTACCGACTCCGCTGGACGTCCCAGGAGTCCACGAAAGCGGCGACGGTTGCAGAGTTCGCACCCCCAGGGAGCCGCGGAGGAGGAGGATGACGAGAAGGAGGAAGGAGGAGGAGGAGGAGGACGAGGACGAGGAAGATGAGAAGGAGGATGAGGCAGGCTTAGGAGGAGGATGCGGGAGGGAAGGAAGCAGGGATGGAAGGAAGGAACCAAGGAAGGAAGCCACAGTGCTCTATTAATGACGAGAGCCCAACACAGAAGGGTCGACAAGAAAACAGGAGGTACGAGGCAGGAGGGAGGGGAGGAGAAGGACTGGGAGACCACAATGCTCTATTCAAAACGAGCGCCCAGCAAGAGGAGGGTTGGGGAAAAACGCATCGGCGGAGATCTGGGTCCAGCGTCGAGCCGAGGGGGTCCGCGCAGGCCTTCGAGAGTCCACTGTTTGTGCCCTTCTGCTGCTCGTTATTCGAAGGCGGCGGAGAAGCCCGCGGAGAGGCCGGCGGAGGCAAGACGACGGCGGGCCCTCTGGCGGAGGCTCGGCGGAGGGCGGCGGAAGTAGAGGTGATCTGGTGGAAGCCCGTGCCGAGAGACACCCTGTCTGCTTCCAGGGTGCCCTGGGTTTCGTGGGTTTTGAGCGTTTTGCTGTGGAAAGCGTGGCACTCCCACACCAAGAATCCATGGACGTCTTGGGTGTCAGGGTGAGGTTTCTTTTGGAAGGTTTCTTGTAGTCGAGCTTCTACTGTACTTCAACGTGTTTGGAATCGTGATCGTTGTTTTATTCATCATTTTGCCGATCGGCGCGGGCCCTCCATCCCCCCCCACCCCCTCGTGGAGTAGATCTTGGCTGTTTTGGGCGCCTGTTTCGAGCAGGTGGAGTCTCCCCTCGTAGGACGCACTGTCGCGAACAGTCGCACTAAGCAGAGGTCCGGAGCCAGACCCCTCCCCTTCCGCCCAATGTCGAACCTCCGAATGAAAAAACGTTCACATCAGGATGTCAGGAATCGGCCAGATGGGGCCGGAGGACCCGGGCGCGCCCGATGCTGCTCTGCAGTCGCGGCGTGCTTCCTCCGTGTCCCAGCTTCTCGGTCTGAGGCCCCTCTCGTGCAGACACGTCCAGGGCCCGAGGGCGCCGTGCTCTGAGGTGGTCCTCCGGGCGGCCGCCAGGTTCAGCACGGGCGGCCGCCCAGGGGGAGCGGCAGGGGGGAGCCACGGGCGAGGGAGGGACGAGGAGCAGGAGGACGAGGGCGAGGGCGATGACGAAGGCAGGAGGAGGAGGAGGAGGAGGAGGAGGAGAAGGAGGAGGGCGAGGGCGAGGGCGAGGACGAGAGCACGAGGAGGAGGAGGAGGAGGAGGAGGAGGAGGAGGAGGAGGAGGAAAAGGAGGAAAAGGAGGGGGAGGGGAGGGGGAGGAGGAGGAGGAGGGGGGAGGAGGAGAAGGAGGGCGCGACGGGCTGGCCTCGAAACTTGCGTTGCCCTGGTCCATCTTCCTGCGAAGGGCGCGCGCGAACGGCCCGCCCGTGTTCTCACCGTGCGCTCTCTCTCTTTCTCTCTCCCCACCCCCCTGCTGCCTCCCCACTGCCCTCCCTCCTCGGCCTCCTCCTGCTCCTCTCCTGCTCCTCCCGTGCTTCTTCTCCTCCTCCTCCTCCCCCCCTCCTCCTCTCCTCCTCTCCTCCTCCTCCTCCTCTCCTCGACCCTCCACCTCCTCCTTTTTCTCCTCCTCCTCCTCCTCCTCCTCCTCCTCCTCGTCCTCCTCCTCGTCCTCCTCCTCCTCCTTTTTCTCCTCCTCCTCCTCCTCCTCCTCCTCCTCCTCCTCCTCCTAGTCCTCCTCCTCCTGCTCCTCCCCCTCCTCCTCCCACACCCAGGACATCCGCCGATCGGTTTTTCATCGCCCTTGAAATTCCAGGCTTTTGGGAAGTTCGAGATTCGAGGTTTCCGGACGCTTTCTTTGGCTCCCAGAGGTTTTCTGGACTCGGCGAGCTTTCCGACAGCTGCGCCTCGCCGAGAGCGTTCTGGAGGTGCCCGAATCGTCCCGAACGGCCGCTGGAGGCCCGAGATGTAGCCCGATAACCACGTGGACCTTTTGATCACGCGGCGTTTTGCCCAGCCTGTGGCCTTGACGGTCCGCTTCCGGGTCCCGAGGGTCCTCAAAAACGGATTTGGCACGAGAAAGTTGCCCTCAGAGAAGGTGTCGGGACCCTAAGATCACGTCGTCGAATGTTTTTGGCAGGTAGGGTCAGGGGATCGCCGATCCGTCGGCGATGCGTCGGCGAAGCTGGGCTCTGGATCGCGCCGCATCTCTGATACGCGGATGCGTCAGTCGTGCTGTGTGCCGTTCTCGGGCTCCTGGGGCCACTCCTGGTCCCCAGGATCGCCAAAACACGTCACGACCAACATATCTCCCGGGGGACGCCCTGCGGTCCGGGCCCTATCTCACTGAGGACCCTTTTCCCCTTATGCGAAACGGAGAGGTGTTCGTCTTCACGGCGCTGCAGATCAGCCTGATCATGTTCCAGGCCGCGCTGCGTTCGGAACGGATGCCCTGACCCAGCCAAAACATGCCAGGGGAACCTCCGAAGACATTTCCAAAACCGCCGACAGCCGTTTCGGCACCAAGGCACGCAATCCGCGGCCCCAGAAGTTCCGAATACATGTTGGATCGTTTCATGGCCCGAAAGCGGCACCTAGAAGGAGGAATTACAGAGAAACGCCGCCGTTGATTATTATTATTGTTAGTATTGTTATTATTATTATTATTATTATTATTATTACTATTATTAGTAGTATTATTAGCAGTATTAATATTATTTGTATTATTATTATTGGTAGTATGATTATGATTCGTATTCGCAGTACTATTCGTGTTGTTGTTGTTATTATTATTATTATTATTAGTATTATTATTATTACTATTATTATTATTATAATTTGTAGTATTATTATTATTATTAGTATTAGTATTAGTATTACGATTACTACAATAAACTTCGTCGGAAGTTTGGACCAATGCCGAAATCTGCAAACAGCTGCCTAGAGCATCCGAAACCTGTCAGAAGGCGTCCGAGATAATTGTTTTGAACTTGTGCCTCGCTTCCCCCTGGGCGAAGGGGATGCCTTAACCGTCCCGAACATGACCGATGATAGAGCAGGAGGAGGCGGAGGACCAGGAGTTTTGAGGAGGGAGGAGAAGGAGGCGGGAGGAGGAGGAAGAGGAGGCAGAGGAGGCGAAGGACCATGAGGTGGAGTAGAGTGGAGGCCTCTTCTACTTCTTCTGCCGCTGGGGGGGGGGATATTCTATTCGAAGAAGATTCCTGGGCTCCCAGGCGCTGCCAGGGTTCCAGTACGAAGGTTACAATTGGATTTCAATAAGATCCTCTCAGAATATATACTGGACTCCAAGGCGACTCCTGGGCTCCACTAGGATTTACAAAGGATCCCCGTTGCATCCGAACATAATCCAACTAAGATCGCAATCGGATTGCAGTCGGATTCCGTTGTCGTCGTCGCCGCCGTCGTCGTCTGAGGCATCCGCAGACAGCGCGTCGTCGTCGTCGGCCGACTACGACGGGTCCATGCACGCCCTCCGCCCCCCCCATGGAGCATCCGCAGCGCGCCATCGTCGTCGTCGACCAGACTCGATGGTTTCGATGGTTCTCTTGGCCCAGTTTGTGTGGTGTCGATGAGAACCCAGGCATGATCCCTCTTCGAGGAATCACAACGGGGATTCCTCATCTACTCCTTCTACTTCGACCGCCCCCCTGCCTTGCGAACTTATTGAACTGATTAATGTGTCGGGGTGCTAAACCATACTGGTCGGCGACCCCCCCCCCCTGGAGTTGAATTATATCAGATCTCACGGTAAGTTGGCCTGCCAACGGGCGCCCGGTTGCGTGGAGTAATACCCGCGCGCGGGAGTCGGCGTCTGCGGCGTCGTTGGCTTCCCGTGTCGCCCATGTTTTCGTGCAAGGGCGGAGGCGCTTTCACCACGTGTGTTCGGATCTGAAGACGGCCGACGTGTACAAAAGTGTAGGCGTAAGAGTTGCAAGCTAACCCCGTCGTTCTCCCGACCGCAGAGGCTCGGTCCCATCTTGAACAGCAGATTGCACTGTGCAAGAACAGCGTCGCGGTCGTCGTCGTCGTCGTCGTCGTCGTCGTCGTCGTCGTCGTCGTCGTCGTCGTCGTCGTCGGCCTAGTCGTCGTCGTCGTCGTCGTCGTCGTCGTCGTCGTCGTCGTCGTCGTCGTCGTCATCGTCGTCGTCGTCGGCCTAGTCGTCGTCGTCGTCGTCGTCGTCGTCGTCGGTCTCGTCGTCGTGGCCGCCGCCGTCGTCGTCTAGGGCCTGGGCGCCGTCGTCGGCGACCTTGTGCGCGGGCGGTTAGCGACGACGACCCCCCCCCAAGCCGCGTTCCACAAAAAACTACCCAAAGCCCAACTCAGATCCAGGCGTCGCAACTACAAATCGCGAAGGCTGGCCTGTTGTCGTTTTCGGGCCCTGCAGGCCCACTCTCGGGCTCTGGGGCCATTCAAGATGGAAAGCCGGTCCGGGGAAGGTGGTCGAGATCCCCAGGGGGCGATGTTTTGAAACTGCGCAACGTTGGAGGACGTGGGGAGGTGATAGTCCAGACCTCCAGACAGCGGAGCGGCCTGGAGCAATCCGCGCACGTACGCGCGCGCGCGGTCCGTGCTGCGTGCGCGTATCGGAGGGCAAACAAAAACAAAGCAGCACAGATACGGGAGGCACACCGCATGAGAAGCTGGCCTGCTAACGGGTGCCCCAGGACTTCTTTTCTCTGGGTGGGCCAGCAAGGTAGGGGGCACCTCACGAAGCTCAGAGCCGACGAAGGAGGTGCCCCCGAGATGTCGCGCCGCCCCTGGCGCGCTCGGCGCGCTCCGCGCGCCAGAGGAGACGAGGCCCAGCGCTGACCCAAGAGGTCTGTGCGGACCTCCGAGGTGTGTGTGTGTGTGTGTGTGCCGCTTTCTGTTCTTCTGCGTCTGGCGCGGTTCTCCCCCCGCTGCCGTTCTCTTCTCCTTCCTCCCCCTCCTTCTCGCCCTCCTGTCGTCCAGCACCGCGACGACGATGCGCTCTCAGGGTGGATCTGTTATCGCCTCTTTTGAATCTTCTCTCGCGCTGCTCACGTTGACTCACCTCAGGGGCCTCCTGCAGGACAAGCGCAGGATGTCCCAGGTTTATCTGGTGATCAACGTACAGGCGCGGGGCAATGACCCACGTACCGTCGGAACGATGCCCACTCTTGCCAGCACTTGGCGGCTGCCTCGTTCGTAAGATGGGTGGGAGGGGTACGACGTCGGAGGGGATGCCGGCAAATCTGGATGTACCCTTTTCCGCTCTCGCCTGCCCTTCTTTCATTTATCATTCGCCCTCGCCGCCTCGTTTTCTCTGTTCCCGGCTCCCCCCGCCCTTCCCCCCCGTGTTTCCGTTGGGTCTGGTTTCGGTCTCATGGCTGCTATTTTGGTAGTCTCTGCATGCCGCTGCTGTTTTATTTCGCGCTGTTCTGGAGGCCATATTGATCGTTCGGTGGACGCGAGGCCACTTGGAATCACAGTCGGAGCCACCTTGAACCATATTTTGGCGGACCCCGTCCTCTCCAGTGCCCACCTGTGCGTCAGCGTCCGGCCGCTTCCGTGCCAGGTCCGCGGCGGCCAGGCCCGCCGCCATGTCCAGGGCGGCGGGGCCACCGGGAGGCCCGCGAGTCGCCGAGATCTTCACAACTCGTGCTTGCGCGTGCCCCCACTGGCCCCCCCCTGTGGGCCCCGCCGCCCCCCGCGGTGCAGCGCCGGTCCGAACAGATTTGTGGACCTCTCGGAACCCCTGGGGGCCTGGGCGGAATTGTGGCCGGAATTCTTGTGGCCAGAAGTGCAGCAGGAAGTGCAGCTGGGACTGCACGCGGATTTGCCGCCAGCGCTCGAGCGGAAGCCTCACACGGCGAGCTGGAGTTTGCCCCACAATCCCGCCTGCAAGTCCGCCTGTGTAGTGCGCGCGCGGCCCGCCCACGGTGCAGCTCCGTTCCGCGGGCCCCATATTGCCTCCTCGTCGGCCCGGCGCCCCCCCCCCCAGTGCGCCCCCTCGGCGCGATCCCGCTGGCGCGCCCCCTTGGCGCAACCCTCCAGCACGCCCCCTTGGCACGCTCCCCGGCGAGCCTCTGGCGCGCCCCCCTGGACCCCCCCCCCGCGGCACACTTCCCTCGGCGCACGCCCCTGGCACGCACTCCTGGCGCACCTCCCGGCACGTCCCCCCGAAAACGCAAGGCCGCGGGCGCGGAAAGGGGTGGAATTCGCAGCCCCGCTGGTAGACATGCGCGCCTTGAGCGCAGGGTTACCGGGCCTGTCCCTCCACAGGAGGAACATTCACAAATAGTGGAACATTAGTATGGGACATGTTTTATTATTCTCTTGCATGTTTGGAGCATTTTTGGGGTATTCTTCATTTTTCGCCCAAGCTCCCCCTGTATGGGGGACAGGCCCGATCTAAGCGCAGGGCAATATTGCCCCAGGCAGAGGTCCTGAGTCCTGGAGGGGTGGAGCGCGCACCCCCTTGCGCAGTGAGCGCTGGAAAGCGGACCCAGGGAGAGGCCTCGAAGAGGGTGGGCCGCACAGTCCCCAGGGCCCAGGGTGGACCGCGCAGGCATCGGCTGCAATATATGCTGTCGACAATCCTGCTGGAATGCTGCTGTAGATCAAGCCACTGGCCAGCTCTGCCGCGTATCGCCACGGAGTGCACGCGTTACTCGAGAGATGTTGCATTCGCCCCCATTCATCTACCTCTTTCTTCTCCCCCCCAAAAAACTGTTGTCGACAATCCTGGGGCACGCGGCGTTTCAGGGGCAACCTTGCAATATTTGGGGCCCTTTGGGGGGCCATGTGGGATATTTTTGGGCCCTCGTTTGCCCTCGCGCGAGAGACCCGCGTGAGGGCCGCCGAGGGTGGGGGGCGCAGATAAGAAACCAAGAGTTGAAATTCCCTTTTTCAGTTGAAGCTTCTGGGGACGACGCTGACGAGTGGGCGGGCCGTCGTTGGTGGTAGAGACCCCCAAAAATGTCTGGCGCTGGTCCCCAACGCAATACATGTCGATCTGGGGCTCGTTTCGATCCCCGCCAGCTTTCCAGCTTTGGCCACTTCTCGCAGGCCTCGAGGTTGACACCAACACCAATATCGGCGTCGTACCTCCACCGAGGGAAGAAGATGCCGATCTCGATGATGGTGGTAAGATGCTGACTTCCAAGGTGACCGAAATATTACCACCAACACAGAAATCTAGGACCATCTTCCCCCTGTGCAGGCAACCCCCTTGTGTTGGTGTTGGTGCTTATTCCCAGGCCTTCAAACTTCAGCGTTCCTGTGAATTGCATCGTCCACTTCCTTCGGCCTCTTTTCGTGCTTCATGCTCGCCCTGAACACGCCGGGCGCCGATTCTCTTCGGCACTGCTGCGCCTCCATACTCTTCATCGCCACCCTCCCGGGTCAGTTGTAACAGCCATACTTGCCATGCGTCGGGAAGCCGGCGGGAGAATAATGATGATGATGATGATGATGATGATGATGATGATGATGATGATGATGATGATGATGATGATGATGATGATGATGATGCTGATGATGATGATGATGATGATGATGATGTTGATGATGATGATGATGATGATGATGATGATGATGATGGATGGTGGTGGTGGTGGTGGTGGTGGTGGTGGTGGTGGTGGTGATGATGATGATGATGATGATGATGATAATGATGAGGAGGAGGAGGAGGAGGAAGAGGAGGAGGAGGAGGAGGAGGAGGAGGAGGAGGACGAGGACGAGGAGGAGGAGGAGGAGACGTTTTAATGTCGAGTTGCCCTGGTGGTAGAACAGACGTATGCCTTGCACCGGTACTCCGACGCCCCGCGCACGCGGAGGTCTCCGGCATCCAGTTCCTCTGGGTCCGCTTCTTCACTAGCGTGTGGGGCCTCAGCAAGAACTGGGTGACGATGGCCTACCTCCTCATCGCCGGGGGCTTCGGCGGCACGCCGAGGGCACAAAACAGGTGCACAAGGCGCAGATTTCTTCGCAGGGCGGCGCTGGGCTTCCGCGCGCCAGGGTAGCGGGGGTCGAGCGCCGCGATCCAAGAGGTCCGCGCGGACCCCCGAAAGTTTGTGCTTCGAGCAGTGGCGAAGCGTCCTGGCGTGCCTATAGGCCTACCAAACAATGTTCTAAGAACCTTTTGTGCTTTCCGCGAAATGTTCTTAGAACATGTCTGGCTGGGACTGTCTTGTTTTATCACATCGGGTTTATGTTCTAAGAACAGTGCTATTGTTCTTAGAGCACCCTTGGGTTCTAAGAACATGTCGTGGTTGGCCTATAGGAATGCCGGGACGGTCGGTCCCTGCTGAAATGCTTGCGTCGTCCCCAGAGGTCTGAACCACCACCAGGACCGATTTTTGTTCATCCAGAGTCGTTTTTGACGGCCCTGGGTTCTCAGGGGCCACGAGAGGGGGATAGGCACAGGGGCGGGCACATCGACCCCCAATCCCCCATTGATCGCCGATAGCGGCCCGATAGCCCCAACCTGCCCAGGAAGTTGCGGAGTCACGATCGGAGGCCTACCGCCGATCTGTCGGCGATGTATCGCCGATTCCAGGTCGATGCATCCCCCCCCATGCCAGTCCCCCCCTGCCGTTGCCCCTCAGGTTCGGGTTCAGGCAAGGGGCCCCCAGGGGCCGAAAGCAACCGACGTCTTCTGTCGCGGTGTCTTCACGCGGCGCCGCTCCAGGAGGTCCGCGCGGACCTCTCACGGTTGTCAGCTGTGCCGGCATGTTTTTTCTCCCAGGCATCGGCATCGCTGTCGGGCCGGCCTACATCGACAGGTACGGAGGCTCGAGCGGCTGGGGGGGGGGCTCGACCAGGGACTCCAGCGGACTGCCGCCATGAAGGAGGCGGGGGATCCACAGGAGCAGCAACCCATCACCAGAGCAGCCTGGTCCAAATGAGGAGGGGCTGGCCGATCCATGGACAGCCGAACAGCGAAGGCGAGTAACGCAGGAGCCTCAGGGTGGCGGAGAGAGTGACTCGGTGAGATCGAGGATGGGTGCGAGGAAGAGGAAGAGGATGACGGAGGAGAACATGGGGGGAGGGGGAGAGGAGCAGGCGGAGGAGCAGGAGCACCAGCAGGATCAGGAAGACCACAACGAGGGTGCGGTGGAAGGCAATGAGGAGTATTTACGCGGGGGAGGGTCCAGACGTGGAGAAGGGGAGCTCTTAACTTGAGAGCGAGAGCGAGAGCGTCATAGGCCACAGCTTGACGTGCGAAGGCGCGGGGTGCGCACAGGCGGGCCCAGGGCCCCAGCGGACCAATCGCGCGAGCGACTTTCGCCCCCGATGCGGCCCATCGTGACTTCGGGAGGCTGTGGAGTATTGGGTGTTTGTGTTGGAGGCAGAGGCTGTTGAGTCCTGGGTGTGGTGTGGGATACGAAGGCCGTACAGTACTGGGTGTTGTGTTGAACGCGGAAGCAGGGCTGGCGGGCGGCGGACGGCGGGCGGGCGGTAGGCGAGCGGATCGGCGTTTTGATAGAATTCCTAAGGATTCTCTCTTGCAGCGGGATGCTGTTGAGTATTGGCTGTTGTGCTGGAGACGGTGACTGTTGAGTATTGGGTGTGGTCTTGGACGCCGAAGGCCCTGGCGTATAATGGTAGATTCAAGTTACAATTGGGGAGGGCGCCCGTTGAGTACTGGGTGTTGTGTTGTGCTGGAGACGGAAGCTGACGAGTAGCGGGTGTGGTGTTGAAGGCGAAGGCTGTGGAGTAGAATGGTCTATTCAAGATACACTTGGGGAGGGAGCCTGTCGAGTACTGGGTGTTGTTGGAGACGGAAGCTGTTGAATAGTAGGTGTGGTGTTGATTACGAAGGTCGTGTGGATCCCAAACAGTGCGTTTCAATGGAAGTGCACGTGGTGCAATGTACGTGGTGCAGTCGGCGAAATGCAGTTGCAGTGTATGTGGTGCAGTGTGAATGCATGCAATGTAATGTTTGTGGTGCAATGGCTATGTATGCGGCCACATGTATGTGGTGCAATATATGCGGTGCTAGTGCAGCATCTGTGGGCAAGTTTTGTGGTGCAGCCTACGTGGTGCAATCGATGTTGCGCAATCAATGTGGTGTAGTCGAAGTATCTTGTAGACCCCGAGCACCGCATATGTGGGTATAGTCGCGTCAGAGCGGGAACCATCAGCAGAACACAGTTTGTGGAATTTGAAATAGACCGACCTTGTTGTGAAGAGAAGGCAGCGTTGGTGTTGAGAGAAACGCGCGGGGGGATCTTAAGGCGAATACATCCACACGTCCATCCATATATCTGTATATGTGTATACATACATACATACACACGTACGTACGTACGTACATACTCACGTGCATACATACGTACATCACACTTTCATATACACACATACATGCATACGTACACATGCATACATATACATACATACACATACACACATACATGTACACATGCATGTATGCAAACATGTGTGCATACATGCATACGTACATACAAACATACATGCATACGTACATACAAACATACATGCATACATGCAGACAGACAGACAGACTGACAGACATACATACATACATACACATGTACATACACACACCCATTCAATCACACATACATATTCCCTTCTGTATATTTCTATTGAGCGGAACCCTGCGAAAATTCCCACCCACCCCGATCCCTGGTCTCGGGGGCCTCCTGAACGCTCCTTAACAGGGTCACCTGGGACTTCAGGGCCTTTGAGGATCCCTCCCAACCCTGCAAACAGCCCATTGGTGGTGCCAAGAGGCCCCAAAACGGTCCAAGAGGATCCCGAGACGTCCCAGGAGCGTCCAACGGGGTATTTATACATAGATGGCCGCAAGATGGCCCAAGTGGTCCCCAACACGCCCCTAGCGGCCTTCAAAAGGGCCTTCCGAAGCAAACGTCGCTTCATTCCTTAAGGAAAACCCAGCGTTTTGACATATACGCCTTGGTCGTCTCTGCAACGTCCAAGACCGCCCAAGAGATCCCCGAGATGGCCCCCAGACGGCCCAAAAGGCCTCCAAGAGCGCTCCCAGGCGGCCCAAGAATGCCCCAAGACTGCCCCGACTGCCCATGAGAGCCCCAAGACGGCACAAAGAGGGCCCAAGAGGTTCCCCAGAGGCGATTAATTCAGGCCCAAGAGGGCTATGGGAGGTTTCCAAGAGGGCCCGAGATGGCCCCAAGACGGCTTCAAGAAGGCCCTCGCCCCCCAGGACGGCGCAAGAGGGCCCAAGAGGGTCCCGAGACGGTCCAACAAGCCCCAATAAGGACCTTCGAGAAGGTTTCGAGAGGCCATATTCATTGACGCCCCCCTCTGCGACTTCCGAAGACCTTCTCCTGTGGATGGTGTTTCGTCCCGAGATAGGACGGCACGGGATCGAGGCTCGAGGTTCGACGATCGAGGTTTTCCGGCAGTTTTCCGTCCTTTCGGAGCTTCCGGCGTGCACGTCTCCGCATGGCAAGATCCGCTTTGAGATTCGGGTGCATCGGAACACAAGGCCATTCCCAGGAGCTGCGTGCAGTTCAAAGCCAGGGCGAGTCGCGCGAAGGGCCACGTTGCACGAAGCTCGAAGGACAACATTGCTTGGTGTGTATATATATAGATAGATATGTGTTTGTATCCTGCCTTCTGTCTCTCTCTCTCTCTCTATATATATATATGTGTACGTATGTATGCATGTGTATACTTGTATAGACATGTATGTTTGTGTAGGCCAAGTGCGCGTGTACGTATGTGTGTATGTATGAGTGTGTGTATGCATGCCTGTACGTATGCATATAAGTATGTATGTATGCATGTACGTCTGTATGTATGCATGCATGTATGTATGTCTGTATCGGAGGTTGGGGGGTGACATCGAAGTGGAACGGTGAGCCCCCCACTGGGAAATCGGTTTCGGTTTCGTGTTCGTGCGTGCCGTGCGTGCGGGCGAGGCGAAGCTGCGTGGGCTGGCGAGAGGAAAGTCTCCTGTGGCTGAGGCGCGGCCGGACCAAATGATTTTCCCTCCAGCAAGCGGTGGCCCGCGGTGTCCCGCTGGTGTCCCGCCGGTGTCCCGCTTGCGGCTGGGTCCCGGCCGGACCAAATGATTCTCCCTCCAGCAAGCGGTGGCCCGCGGTGTCCCGCCGGTGTCCCGCCGGTGTCCCGCTGGTGTCCCGGTGTCCCGCTGGTGCGAAAACGATAGTGAGACCGATGACGAAATCGATTGTGAGATCGATAGTGAGGTCGATAGTGAGACCGATAGTGAGATCGATCGTGAGATCGATAGTGAGATCGATAGCGAGATGAATAGTGATATCGATTGTGAGATGGAGTGATATCGATAGGGTGATCAATAGTGGGATCGATAGCGAGATGAATAGTGAGATCGGCAGTGAAATCGATCGAGTGAGATCGATCGAGTGAGATCGATAGTGGGATCGATGGTCCCAAGAGCGAGCGGCAACGCAACAACCACCACTGTTGCCCATTGCTGGCCCCCCTTCCCCCTCACCCTGCTTATCACCCGCAGGGTGGTCGTATAGGTGTGTATATATATACACACATACCTATACGACCACCCTGCGGGTGATAAGGAGGTTGGGGGGGGAGGGGCCCAGCAATGGGCAACAGTAGTGAATGTTGTTGTGACAATGCCAGTGGAGATAGTTGCGTTGCCGCTCGCTCTTGGGAGCGTTGGTGTCGAGTTGTTTACGTCACCCTTTGCTCTTTGGCGCCTTGGTACCCACTGGGCGGTGAGCACCTCGGCCGACAGACTGGTGGCGTCCAAGCCTGTCAAAGACTGGGCCTTATCGCCAACGGTGCTGATGTGGGCCCCCGGCCAGATGTTGATCTTCACCTCGCCGTTCTCAAGCGCAGCACTGCATCCGAGCACAGCGACGCCAGACCCCGGTTGCACGTGGGCGAAGTATTCGTGCGCCTTTTTCCACACGGTCACCACGATCTCCCCGCCGCCAGCATCCGTGAACTCCGCTTCGGCCACCATTAGGAGGCTGCCCTTCTTACTGACTTGCTTGGGAGTGGTGATGCCGAGGAACTTGCCGCAGAAGTCGAAGGCCGCCCGGTTGTTTGCACCAGTAGCAGTCCCTTTGAGAAGCTCTACGATGCCCTTGGTATCCAGTGCGATCTGCAGCCCCTTAGCGGGATGCGCCAACGCTTCCGTGCTGGTGGGCGGGAGTCGGGTCAGTGTCGATGGGTTGCAAAGCAAGACCACCGACTTCAATGGGCCGCCGATGAAGTCCGACTTGGCTCTGGTGTCGAAGCTCGGGGTCCGGAGCTCCCACACGGAGTCCGCCGTGAATTTCTTGAAGGCTTCGGCTGCCGCAGCTCGGTTCTTGAAACTGAAGGGCACCGCGCCGAGCATGTACTGCGCGGGCGCGTTGGACACCAAAACGCAACTGAACCTTTGCGCCTCCCCTTTTTCGTTCCTCGCTGTGAACGTGTAATCAATGACCTTCGGGTGGAGGACCCTCACGTACCACTTGGCGTGCTTGGCTGTCTGGGTGTTCATGTTCTTCAGCGTCTCCATATTCTTGTCGAGCATTTCGGCTGGCAAGGCCTGGCCCCTCGTAGCGAAGCCGAAGGAAGTGCGTGACCGAAGTGGGCGCGTTGGGGGGGGAACCCCGCGTGTCGAGTGCAACAGAAGCCTTGAGCCCAAATCCGTGAATGGTACGAGAATTGACGGTGGTGTGCCGGCGATGGTGATGATGTTGTTGATGGTGGTAATGATTATGAGATGGTGATGGTGATGGCGACCCCGCGGGCCCTGGGACACCCGCACCAAGGCCCCTGGGACACCCGAGCCCCCCGGACCCCGACCCAACCAACGTGCTCGGGGCCCTGCCCGTGGACGGCGGTCGCGCAAGGCACGACCAACAGCCGCGAGTCCACGTCGTCATCATCATTATCGACATCACCATCAACATCATCATCATCATCATCCTCATCGTACTCATCATGACCATCAGCACCACCATCATCATCAATGTCGTCATCATAATCACAAACATCAACACCATGAAGGCCATCATCACCATCAGCATCACACAATCGATCTCACATTCGGTCTCACTACCGATATCACAATCGATCTCGCAATCGACGTCATCATCATCAACATCAACATCATCATCATCGCCATCATCAACATCATCATCATTATCACCATCATCATCATAATCAGAGTCATCATCATAATCATCATCAACATCATCATCGGGACACCGACGGGACACGGACGGGACACCGGCGGAACACCGGCGGGACACCGCGCCGCCACGGCCGCCCCGAAGGGAATCATTTCGTCCGGCCGCGCCTCAGCCACACGGGACACCAGCGGGACACCGGCGGGACACCGCGGGCCACCGGCCGCCCGGAAGGGAGTCATTTGGTCCGGCCGCGCCTCAGCCACACGGGACACCAGCGGGACACCGGCGGGACACCGCGGGCCCCCAGCCGCCCGGAAGGGAGTCATTTGGTCCGGCCGCGCCTCACCCACAGGAGACTTTCTTTCGCCCGCCCACGCAGCTTCGCCTCGCCCGCACGGCACGCACGAACACGAAACCGAAATCGATTTCCCCGGTAGGGGGGCTCTCCGTTCCACTTCGATCTCACCCCCCAACCTCCGATATATTTGGTGATCTTCGCGGCTCTGTGGCTTCCTCCCTCCTCGATTTTTCTGGTCCTCTTCCTTCTCCTCTGGGGGGTGCCTGGAGTGGTGGGGCGGTAGCGGCTAGATCTGAGAGGGGTCCCTGGGACCCCCCGAAACATTTGGGGGATGCGCAAATCATTAAGAAAACGCCAGCTGGGGGACCGCCCCCCCCTCCCTCCCTTCCCCGGCAGAGCCACCCCGGCGACCCCCTCCAAGCCGAGCTGAAGCTCTTGATTTAGGCTCAGAGCTGAGG